AGAGTCATCGGAACGTGCCCTGTGAGGAGAGTTTAGAAAATCGGGAAAGTTTTTTGGGTTCTCGTATTTTGTTACGGAAATGATGCTGACAAAAAAAATTCTTCTCAGTTTTGTTCATGGAAATTATGCAACGTGGGGTATGGAAATTATGCAACATGTTTTTTTTTTTTTTTTTTTTTTTTCAAATAAGGATCGGATATTAAACTGATTCGTTGATTCTTGATTTCAGAGGTATAAAAGTTTTTCCTTCTCATTTTCTTTTGCAACTTGTAAGGAAACTTCATTTAGTAATCGAAGAGTTTATGACTCGTGCCTTCTTTGACTTGTGCGTGATTTACTACTTTGATTTTATCTTTCATTTTATTTTATTTTTTTTAAATGTAATTATTTTTTAATCTCACTCAGCGAGGACAGGTCTTTCAATGATGATGACGATGACGACGACGACTTCATCGAGCAACACCAGCAATAGCAGCGCACAAAACGACAAAAAAAGCTTGGACTTACACCTTTTGAGCCGCTCGAAGATTATCCATCTTATCCGTCACGGGCAGGCGCGCCATAATGTGGCGGGAAAGTCCGATTATGCTAATTATAGGAAATGGGAATACTTCGATTCAGCTTTGACAGAGGAAGGATGGGAGCAAGCAGCGATGCTATGGAAGACGAAGGGAAGAGAGCTGGAAAGCGCAGAGCTGGTGGTGGTGTCCCCGCTTACACGCACGCTGGAGACGGCTATGGCGATCTACGGCGTGGAGGAGGGAGAGAAGCTGGTGTCGCTGACAGGGATGGAATTTCAAACGGCAGAGGGGAAAGGACTTGTCATCAACGACACGACCGAAGCAGCAGCTATGGCTTCTTCTAGTCTATTCCCTTTGGAGGGTGCTGCTGCCATGGCTCCTTCTCCTTTCTCAATGGCAGCTATGGCTTCTTCTCCTTCCCCTGTTCCAGCTATGGCTGCTTCTATTCCTTCCCCTCTTCCAGCTATGGCTTCTTCTCCTTCCCCTCTTCCGGCTATGGCTTCTTCTCCTTCCCTTCTTCCGGCTATGGCTTCTTCTCCCTACCCTCGGCCAGCTATGGCTTCTTCTATGGCTTCTTCTCCTTCCCCTGTGCCAGCTGTGGCTTCTTCTCCTTCCCCTGTGCCAGCTACGTCTTCTTCTTCTTCCCCTGTGCCAGCTATGGCTTCTTCTCCTTCCTCTGTGCCAGCTATGGGCTCAAACTGCTATGCAACAGCAGTGTCTGAAGAAAGAGAAGGAGGAGGAGGAGGAGGAGGAGGAGCTAGAGTAGGTGGAGAAGGAGGTAACGGTAGCCACCATATCCGTGAGAGGAAGAAGATGGGTAAGAAGGTGTTCGTTGGGACAACACGACCGTTTGTTTCGGTGGAATTGTGTCGAGAGCGCCTTGGCCGGCATCCCTGCGATAGCCGTGCCGCCATCGCCGAGTACAGACGGAGGTTCCGTTTCGTTGATTTCACGCAGATCGAGACAGATGAGGACACGTGGTGGACTGACGATCATCGGGAAACCGAGAGCGAGATCGGTGCAAGGGCCTTGAAGTTCTTGACATGGCTGGCGCAGAGGAAGGAGATGAAGATTGCTGTCATCTCGCATGCCGCATTCCTCGCAGCATTGGTTAAGTTGTTTGGTGATGAGTGTTCGCCGAAAGTTCAGGAGGAGCTGCGCGCCGTTTTCGCCAACTGCGAGATGCGCTCCGTGGTGCTTCTGGATCGCGGATCCGACGGTTCAGGAGACGGATCAGCAGAGTGAATTTTTGTTTGTTTGTTTCGATTTTTCTTTTTGAAATGCGAGTGCAGCGGAGTGACGATCCAACACCCCCACTGCTGCCCAGCGTTTGTCAAGTCTGTGCTCTTTTTGTTTTGTTTTGTTTTTTGGGGTCCTTTTCTGGGTGGGTGGGTGGGTGGGTGGTAAAGACAGCCCGCGCACGGTGACTGTGACATGTGACAGACTGTTTGGTCGGACTTTCACCTTCACCGACTCATCAGCAGAGGAGGTTGATTTGTGACCTCGACAGTGTGGCCAGGATGTGTTCGATTGACGGACGGGGACTCGCTACCTTATCCAAAGGGTAGCGCTGACTGTAGATAAGGTGGCGGGAAAAAATAATAATAATTAAAAACAAAATCGGTCGACGTTACGCACACCAACCCTGCAATCCCTAACAGACTGTGCAGTTGTACTCTCGACAATAACGGCAGGAAGTCCGGGAAACTGCCGTAGCTCATTTGTGCAGGGGTGCATGCAATGGCGTGTGTGCAAAAAAAAAAAAGAGAGAGAGAGAGAGAGAGAGAGAGAGAGAGAGAGAGAGAGAGAGAGAGAGAGAGAGAGAGAGAGNNGCCCTCCTTTTTCTCCTCTCTTCTCTCTCCCTCTCTCTTTCTCTCTCCCTCTCACTGTTCTGTTCCTCTCTCGTCCTCTGTGTTTATGCTTTTGCCTCCTTCCCGTCGTGTTACTTCTTCCACTTACTCCTTCGTATTATGTATGCTGTGTTCATTCAGTAATTGCTGCTTTCGTTCATGATTGCAAGCGATTTTGTATTTGAGTGTCAAACCCTGAGCACAGTTCCCTTTTCTCCTCTCTCATTATCATGTATATTTGCCCCTAAATTCTCTTCTTGTTTTTTTGCATGTGGGGTATGGTACTTTTCCATTTCCTACCTACATGTCCAGGTTTGGTTTGGTTTGGTTTCCCACCCAACGGTGCTTCGAACCTGTGATAAGTAAGTGACCTTGGCTATTCAATACTGAATCAATAGTATTCTACTATTCATGCATGTGACTGTCATAAGTGACCATATGCATTGGCTACCTCATATGCTTAGCTACCTACAGGTCGAGGTTTGGTTCACTTTCCTAACCAAAGCTGCGTCCGAACCTGCATTTTGTGGGGAGTGTTACAGTTGCCCCTTGCATGATATGATGCAGTAGAAGCAGCTTTGGCTGGCAGAACAAAACAAATTCGGGAAGTGTTCGTTCATGACGAAACGAACGTAGGGAGCATTTATAACAAATTGTTTGCAAAACAGTGTTGATGACAACGTGTTTAGATCAAAACAAACGTGGGAAGTGTTTGTAAGAGCTCCTCTCTCTTGTAATAGAGACACTGGACCTGGTTTTCAGCTTATGGAGCTTCCCACCAACAGATGGAAGCCATCTACCCGCCCCCCGTTCCCCCCGCGTCCCCCCCTGCCCAAAAAAAAAAAAGAAAAAAAAAAAGAGAGAGAGAGAGAGAACAGAAAAGGAAGCGTTTGTGACAACAAGTTATTTAACAAGCTATAACAAAGCATTTATAATACTTTATATCAAAATAAATGTGCGGACTGCGGAGCCATTTATAACGAAGGGTTTATAACTAAACAAATGACATGTGGAACGTTTGTAGATTTATAACAAAAGAATCGTGGGAGGCATTATCCTTGCATAATATGCTTGGAGTAAATAATCCAAACTCAAAGGGTGTAAGGTAATCAACCTTTTCATTTCTTTTCTTTCCTTTTCCCTTTTTTTTTCTGGCAATCAAAACATGCAACCTTGAACCAGTGCATGTGGCTGAATGGTATACACATGTTACAGTTGATGGACAGATCACGAGTTCAAGGTCTGATAGAATTAGAGTATATACTCACACTAGGCCCTCCAAATCACAAAATCGCAAAGTGAGCGGCCAGATCGACTCGCTCGTTTACAAGAAATCAATCTGGCCACTCATTTTGCGATTTTTCCATTTTGAGGGCCTGCTGTGTGAGTATGCCCTTAGAGAACAAAGTAGTACTAGGGGGCTGCTCCATTCCGGGAAAAGAGGGCCTGCTGTGTGAGTATGCCCTTAGAGAACAAAGTAGTACTAGGGGGCTGCTCCATTCCGGGAAAAGAAAAATTGTGGTCATTGCTTTGTTGCATTCTGACAAGCAAATCACCATTGACCAGTAGCGGGCATGAAAACGGTAATAAGGTTGGGAACCCTCGCATAAACCCTGGAGGCTGTCGCCCCCCTTGCCCTTCACCTTCCTTGTTGTTGTCGAAAAAGGAAAGCAAAACAACAAAGTTGAACAAATATAACCTCATACCCGAACCAACGGGTCTAGCTCAGTTGGTACACCCATGAAACTGTTGACGTACTCAGACGCAAGTTCGAATCCAGATACTATCAGATGAACAGAATAAGATAGTTCAATTCAATGAATTACCTGCAGCCGTTCAGTTCAATGATCACCTATCACCAGTACCAGGCATTAAAGGTACGAGATAATGAGTTGGGGAACCCTCATATAAACCCTGGAGGCTGCCGCTCCCTTTCTCTCACACAAGACTGTATTGCATTCTGACAAGCATTGTCCCTGATCAAGTTTTTTTTTTTTTTTTTTTTTTTTAAATACAAAATAGGCCCTTGAAGGGCTTCACTTAAAGCTCAAGAAGGAGGCCGGGGACCTCACAATTCAACCCGGAGTATAGGAGTGGTTTATGAGGTCCCACTGTCGCTTTAGACGGTGTCATTTTAGATGATAGGATAGATTCTAGGGGCGGTTTCTAAGTTTGTGCCTAGTTCTTGTGGGTTTGTTGGGCTTTTAAGGCTTGTGCAAGCTGTTTGCTAGGAATGGGGTTTCAGGACAGCAACCTAGATTCGGCCTTCTGTGCCTGATCAACTTCCACCAGCACCAGGCATTAAAGAGAGAAAAAAATTGATGCGTGGAACCCTCCCATAACTTTCGGGGACCATGGAGAACCCTGGAGCACAGTGGTCGAGAGCTGAGCGTAGTCTGTGTACCTGTCCATAGTACTGCTTCGACTTAGCTTGTTCCTACGCTCCGTTCTTCCTGGCAAATTGTGCTTCCTGTGACTCGCACATGTTCTGAGAAAACCTGTGCCTTTATCTGGTGGCGGGTCCTAAGTTCTCCTAACCTTCAAACTCTGCACCTCCTCCTTCGCAGTGGAGGTTTGGGAAGCCGATCACCTGCTATTCTCTTCAATCCAGAATTTTCTGAGTGGAGGTTTGAGAAGCTCATCGTTGGTTATCTGCTTCACTCCTCTACAGACCTCTCTGAGTTTAGGGTTTGGGAACCTGATTGTCTCTGATATCTCGGGATAACCCCAGCTTCTTCCTCTAAAGTGTTCAACACAAATTCGGAAAAGAGTTTGTGTGTGCACGTGCGTGTGTGCAAGAGAGAGAGAGAGAGAGAGAGAGAGAGAGAGAGAGAGAGAGAGAGAGAGAGAGAGAGAGAGAGAGAACTATAGCTCATTTGTGCGGGGTTGCATGCAATGGTGTGTGTGTGTGTATGTGTGTGTGTGTGTGTGTGCGTGTGTGTGTGTGTATGTGTGTGAGAGAGAGAGACGGCCGTTAGTACCAGGAAAGAAAATACAATGGGACCCAGGCTCGGCAAAATTCGGTGCGCAGTGAAATTCAGGTTCGGCAAAACCAGGGCCGGAGGTAGGGGTGGTTCAAAAGATCGTCTTTTTTTTTTTTTCTTTTTTTCTTTTTTTTTAAGCTCCTGTCTATTCGTACGGAGCCGCATAGGCTGGGAAGTAGGCCGAGTGTGCCTTTCTCAGAAATGAGACCTATTGCTGCTGCTGCTCTTCTGCGAACAACAAGAGTACCAGCACTGGTTTTCATTTTTGAGAACGAGGGAATATTCACACTAAGGTAGGACTTTCGTACTATTTTTCTGGACGTAATTCAGGTCAGATACATCCTGCTTGGGCCGTAAGTGCTGTGAAATACATTTGAGATACATCCTGCTTCTTCTGGACGTAATTCAGGTCAGATACATCCTGCGATCAACACTGCAACTGCAACTGCACTCTGCTCAACGACAACTTCTTTGGGATTGAGAATGACTGTGCTAAAAAAGGACAAAATTAACAACAGAAAAAACAAAAATGGCCAGGAAAAAAAAAAACATCAACAGAAAAACAAAAGCATGTCAGTATGTCCCCCCCCCCAAAAAAAAAAGCCAGCATGTCAGGTGGTGGTGGTGGCGGTGGTGCTGCTATTTATGTCGAGCAGCTTCATGGTATGTGGGCAGAAATGATCAGTCCGTAAACAACTCCCCTTTTTTTTCTCTTTTTTTTCTCTTTTTTTTTTCCCTTTTGTTTTCTCTTTTTTTTTCTTTTTTTTCCTCTCTTTTTTTTCTCTTTTTTTTCTCTTTCTTTTTTCTCTTTCTTTTTTCTCTTTTTTACTCTTTTTTTCCTCTTTTTTTTTCTCTTCTTTCTTCTCTTCTTTCTTCTCTTCTTTCTTCTCTTTTTTTTCTCTTTTTTTTTCTCTTTTTTATTAACAACTCCTCTTTGATATGATTAAAGGCAATATTGTCATAGAACATGATGTATGGAAACTAAGTTCCCAGAGAAACTCACGTCCAGAAGTAAGTAAAAAAGGTGTGGTGTGAGTATGCCCTTAGGCTTAAGAGGATTGAAGGAGTGGGTCCCCAGAGGAAATGATGTTAGCATGGCCCCTGCGCAAGGATGACACGCATAAATCGAGAAATGGTCCCAAAAAAAAAAAAGAAAAGGTCTACCATCTTTCCCCGAACACAAGGGATGACACGCATAAATCGAGAAATGGTCCAAAAAAAAAAAAGAAAAAAAAAAAAGGTCTACCATCTTTCCGCGAACACAATGTACCCTCATTTTGGCTGTGCCTGACTGGACATATAGGGATAATTGGTAGAACGAGCCCACGCCGAAACCTATTCGGTTTCGGGCGCCCAAAAAAACCTGGGCCGGTACTATGCGCCCACCGAAAAGTGAAGGGGGTATTTCTATCCCGCCTTAGGCCGGTACGGCCTGAGACTCCCATTTCTTTCATAAGTGGCCGGCCTCAGTTACTCAGGAAGTGAGCGTGCCATTGGCAGAGCCGCAGAGGGGAAGGAAAAAAAAGAAAAAAAGAAGCCCACCGAAGCGGAACGGACATCAATTTGAAGCGCCGCCAGCAAACGACGGGAACGCTAGCGTCCTCCACAATGGGCGGGAGAGCGGGCTGCAAGGAACGAAGAGGGGAAAAAACCACAGAGAGAGAGAGAGAGAGAGAGAGAGAGAGAGAGATCATTACATAGCATTCTGCCTGCATCTGGGCGGCATCAACGCCGAGATGCATTCAAAACGTTAGGTCGATTCGATTGTACCTGGCCTATGTTCCATGGATGATGTGATG